ATTAAAATAATAAACATTATAAATAAACATAAGAGTTTTTCTTCCCAAGTGGGATATCACATAGCAAAACCAACATTTCCTTATAAAAAGGTTTTTCTCCAAATACAGCGGAATATTAAATAGTAAAATCCAACAAAGGTTTTTGATACGTTCACAGGAACAAAATACAAGTTCAGCATAAAACAAATAAAAACACCCAAGTCCCGTGCTACGTATCAGAGCATCCTAGACTCGACTGACACACCATAATCCAAGCTAGCTAAGTACCTGGAGTATTTGTACTTCCGAAGAAGCACATACCACAACAACAACAAAGGGGTGAGAAAACATGATCAAAATATATTGGTAATGTAATACATGTAAACAAGGTAGTAAAACACACCAACACCCCAATATTCACCCCACAACACCAATCACGAACCTACTGTTCAAACTACAATATAACATATTATAATGAAAATATGCAACTCAACACCATGCATGCGGTACCGACTCATTGGTTCATTCAATCGAACCTGGACAGATCACTTACGCTCCTACTGAGATATGATCTATCCCCGACAGATCACTTACGCTCCTATTGAGATATGATATATCCCCCACCATTCTCCTCAAAGGAGTACGGATGAATCACTTACGCTCCTACTGAGATATGATTCATCCCACCAAACACCATGATATGCAAGACACCAATGCATAACTATTATATTCAGGCACACTAAGTGCACACGATCCTCCTGATCATATCATCATACATCAATGCATATGTGTAGATATATTACACACCAACGACTTATAATTCAAATCACACAGTGAGCAGTTTCACATTCTAACACCAAGTATAAACACATCCCATCACCCGGGGATACCCTATCATAGTGATAACCTTACGATACTCTATATCGCACACTCATCCATCATTCACTTAATTTAAACGATAAAGAATCCACATCCTATCACCAAATGTACTCCCTACATTATCCAATCTCCATCCCTACACTCATCATGGTCTAAGGGATACTACACAGCTAGCGCACCAGGCACGAAAGCACAGAAAGTCACATTTTGCTACGCTCGCTACTCCCTCGCTAGGCGAGCTCCTAGCGAATGCTCGCTAGGTGTTCGCTTAGCGAACCTCTTCGCGAATGACAATAGTGGCTACTGTAATGGTTCGCTACCCAACTCGTCACAGCGAATACTCGCTACCTGTTCGCCTAGCGAACTACCTCGCGAAGGCAAACAGAGACTACTGGACACACTCGCTACCTCACTCGCTAGGCGAGCACCTAGCGAACGCTCGCTACCAGCTCGATTAGCGAAGTGCTAGCGAGTTGCCTGCGACTTCCTAAATTATCACAGTTCAGAATTCTCATTCTCCTCCGATTCAAGCCTATTCCACAACATCCACTTTCTATCCTATTAGTATTACAACCAATGCATATTACGCTTATCAATTGTCCTATAACTCTACTCCAGACCAACATTACGGTACATTACCGGCGCTCCAGAGTTACTCAGAACCTTACTCAAACCACACCAACACCAACACTCATTCAACAATGGCAACATCAAACATCAACATATCATCATATACATATTATTCAACACAATTCATCAATAATCAACAACATACAACAATCCACACATATTCATCAGAATACCTACGGGGTTAAGGAAATCCCCTCTACCCAATTTCATGTATTTTACCATCCCAATCCGTTTCTCCCCCCTTACCTTGTTAATCGGTTTGATCGATGGAAATCCTCCTAGATTTGGTCTCTTGGCTTTCTCCTTTCTCTTTCGTTCCTCGTTCCTTTGCTCGTTCTATGCTCTTCTCACTTCTCTCGTTCTTTCTCCCAACTCTCCAAATGTATCGTAAAAACCACTAACCCCTCACATTCCCTATTTTAATTATCTAATCTTAATAATAATAATAACTTAATAAAATAATATAATAATAATAATCTTAATAGTAATACTAATATAATATTACTAATATAAATGATAACACTTAATAATAATAATAATAATAATAATAATATTATTATTATTAACTCACCAAAAGTCATAATAATATTAATAATGATAACAAATATTATAATAACAAATATAATAATAATAATAATAATAATAATAATAATAATAATAATAATAATAATAATAATATCACCACCAATATTACTATTATTGATTATATTATTATATCCACACCAAAACACCACCAATAATCCTCCCATATCAGGGACACCCACCAATCATCATCCAACACACCCCACCAAAGGGCACAGCAACACCTAATAATTAAAATTATAATAAAATGACTAAATAATTAAAATGGGTGTTACAGTTTCCATTTTGATGATCGTGCCACATTTGTCAGAGTTGACTTCATTGCATTCCACATTCAATTAGAAACCCAAGAAATTGCGGGCTTTGACGCTGAAGGTGCACTTGTTCGGGTTAAGCCTCATGTTATACTCCCGAACACAATTAAACACCCTAGTGAAGTGGCCTTCATGTAGTTGTTCTTTGTTGGATTTGACAATTATGTCATTCATATATACTTCCAACATCTCGCTGATTTCATCTTCAAAGATACTCTTCATGATTCTCTTGTATGGTGCACCCACATTTTTTAGTCTAAAGGGCATCATGTTGTACCTTTAATTGGAGTGGTCCATCATAAAGTTTATATTATCTGTGGGTGGCAAACAGGCATGCCAACCCCATTTAGGCCTTCCCCGTAAAAGCCCGCCCCATTAAAAAGTGAGGGTGGGGCGTGCCCACAGACACTACACCTTTTAAGCTTGAAAGTGAAAAAAAAATCATGTTAATGCCCCCGTTCACATAGCCCGTAAAAATAACAATGGGGCGGGCACATTAAATAGTGCACATCTAAACCCTTTGCTCGTCTCGCACTAAAGTGCAGGCAAAATTGACATGTCCAACAAGCTTGACCCATTTTTCCACCCCTAGTATTATTCCTGTCGACCATGTGCACGGGAATTTATTCTATATGGAGTACATATCCATGAGTGATAACAACTTATGACCAACATAGTTGTCCATCAACTTGTAAATGGTATGTAGCAAGTATGAATCTCCAGGGAACGCCTTGTTGAGATCTATGTGGTCAACACACATTATCCATTTTACTGTCGCCTTTTTAACTATAATCATGCTATATGTTTATTTGATTTATTTTAGTTATGAAATTAAGTTTTCTTGAAAGAGTCGTGTGTTGGTGTTCTTGGCGGCTTCAACATTATATGGTGATTGACGCCTTATCATATGTGCTACGTACCAGATGGAGGGATCAATCTTCAATTCATGACATGCAACATTGGGGTTGATGTCAGGCATATCATATGGGTAGACGACAATGACGAATATGTCAACATTGTCTTTAAGGCACTTAATGAGGTCTCTTTCCATAGAGTCATGAACGTTGGACCTAATGTTTAAAGTTCTAGATGGATTCTCATAGAGATAGAAGATTATGAAATCACCATCTAGAATCGACCCTGGAATTTTCGTTTTAGCCTCCATAAGAGGGGTCCCTATAAGTCGTGTCTATCATCTAATGTTGCCTCTTCTAGACCCTCGTAAAAAATCCACGATGTAGATGTCTAATGGGTGTTGCTTAGAAAAATTAGTTCTTTTCACCCTTCTTTATTGTTGGATGGTTGTCGTGGTTGGGTTCTTTAGTAGCGCTTTGTATATTTGACGGGCTCTTATTGGATCAACGCACACGATTACTGGTTCTTCGTGAATGTTGTGATATTTTATCTTCAAGTAGACAATGGAAGCAAAAATATTAAGGGTTGTAAAGAAGGGTCTTCCCAACCCAATATGCAACTATAAATACTTTTATAGGGGACTATCAGGAAATGCACATCTAACGACCTTGCATCTATTTCTTTTTTCGAGAGTAATCATCAGTTCTATGCAGCCCTAGGGATGAGTTACAAAACCATTGAATGCTTGTTAACTTGTGCCCACGTAGGGTGATAACCTATCTTATTTTAAGACTAACTTCTCAAAAAATTTGGTGTATATGATGTCACACAAGATTCATTTTTCAATCATGAATCATGATTCTTGATATTGAAAACTGGAACTTCTATTTCATACGGGAGAAATAACTCTCAAGATGTGAAGGTTAGGACCACTGCAATGGTGACCGACGAAAAGGAGATGTCACTAAGAGATATATATTGAGTACCTTTTGAAGTTGCCATTGCTGGTGGTTATTGAGGTTAACAACAAACGAGTAAGCTAACATAAATGGTTGTGGCACTGCAACGAAGGAAATCACAGAAGTTCGACGTGGAATTTTGTGAAAATCAAAAGATAGTTCCTACATACGGCACCACTATTCTGAAATAGAAACAAAAATTAATAATAGGTTGATGAAGTCCACTATGCGATATCACACTTATATAAGAATAACAATTAAAACAACCTCAATAAGCGCAACAAATTGTTAAAGGAATCCCAATGGTTGAGACTAGAGCGTTATCAGACTAAAATGTAAGGCTCTCGCAACACTTTCGATTGTATCCTCGTATTGAGTCAGTCTTATTAGGCTGTTTTGTAACAAATTATATCTTTAAAAATATCTTTAATTGAAATTAAAATGTGTAACTTCTAATTCTAAAATTTATATTTATTTTTAAATTTATTGCTAAACTGATTTTTATATAAAATTTGCATATAAACATAAATCATTTAAGCTACGCAACAATATAACATAATCACTTATTTAAAAATCAATTTTCCTTGCACATACATATCCAGTTATCAAACACTCTCAATTTTGTCCGTTCACGAACACGAATCAACCGTCCGAGTGGGAAATTGGAGTCTAGTTACTTGGTGGCAACTATTTACACTTTTCTTCTCTACAAAGAAGAAGATAGAAACTTAAACCCTACAAAACGCACATTATAACAACACTTTCACGGCGACGGCGAAGGCGACGGCGACACCATAATCCGATGGCTTTGACAATCTCAAACATACTGCACTGCCCTAAATTGAATTCCTCTCGCAACCATTCCCGTCCCCAATTTTCATCCTCTCTCAGGTTATGCTTGCAAACTCACTTCACTTTTCTTCTTATTCTTCAACTTTCAAGATTAATTTCTTATCCTCAAGTGAAATTTGATTTGAATTTGCAGGTTTCCCAAGAGAGCAGCATGTAATAATAGGAAAATTATCTGTGCTTCTGCATCTGCTGCAGGAAGTTCTAATCCTAATAGCGACATAAGTCCTTATGAGGTAAACTTTACTTCATTATCTTACACTCACTTGTTTGTGTAAAATTGGTTATTATTCATGTATGCCATTGTGTTACTTCATTATCTTTTATAGGTTCTAGGTGTAAGCCCTATTGAGAAGTTTGACACGATCAAAGCGGCATATACTAAAAAAAAGAAGGAGGCTGAGAACAATGGCGATGAAGAAACTGCTTCTAGAGTAAGTTAACTGTTCTCTGTATGTTAGATTTGTTTTCTGGAAATGTCAATAATAGAGAATATTTTTTACAAATTTCTTTTTTGCATTGATGAGTACTATTATCCTCTATCATTAAGGAGCAACTTGTGGTGTCATTACTGATCTGGTTGCTAGCTTTTCATATTTCTAATGGGTGAGATTGAATTGTTGTGTAAATTTTCAGAAAGAATATACATAGGGTCTGTTTGGGAGTTTAGGAGAGGAGAGGAGAGCTTTGAAAAAAAAGAAGGATGAAGTGGGAATCATAGAGAACTCAAAAATTGTATTGGAGAAGGATTTTGGAGGGTTTTAAGGGGTTTGGATAAATTTTCCAATCTATTCTGTATTGTTAGTACTCTCAAAATTTAATATAAATTTTAATCATAAACATTTGTTTATCATTCTCTATGAATACACTGTCTACAAAAAGGTGAGAGATTTCTCTATTTTTCTCTCTACTTCATTTCCACCAAAGCCCTTCTCTTCTTCAAACTTTCAAACAGAGCTTTAAGGTCTCTACTCTCTAGTCTTTATTTCTAATACATGCTGTCCAAGTTAAAGCTCACACATTCTTAGCCGCTAGAGTCTATAATGCTTTTAATTATTTCAGTTTTTTCCGAGGTTGTTAAAAATCCATATTGTTATATCATTATATGTTTTTCTTTAAGGTTTAATGCACTAACACATGGGATTTTGTGAATGTATGGTCCAGCTAGAAAAGGCATATGACAAAGTTATGATGTCTCAATTGAGTAATCGGAAAAAAGGTCTGACTTTTGGATCATTTAAGGTAAAGTAGCGGTATCTTTATTTTTCTGAGCATTTGAAATCGTACAAAAAATATGAAGATATGATGGCACATAGACACTTCTTGTTTGGTTTGTTTTGGAGATTGAAGCTGCTTTATTAATTTAGTTCTGTAAGTATTTGTTGCATGCTACATTTGTTGGACTTCCTTTAATGAAGCAGCTTTTTACAGAGCTTCTCTTTTGACTTCTTTTTCCAATTCAAAATGAATAGAATCCACCCATAAATATTGCATATGAAGAGTTTGGGAGGAATTAATTTCTTATGATCTTGAATTCTTGACACTTTTATTTCAATGAATTAACTTCCAAGATTATGATACATCTTTATTCTTATTCATTGAATCATTATATGCACAGTTACCTACACAAGCATGTTTTTGTCTCTGCTATGCAATTCTTTCATGTTTAGCATGGATAGTAGATATTGAAAAATAAACAACTATCTTTGGAGGGGATAACTTTATGAAAAAGAATTAATTAATTCATTTCATCTAGGTTACACTGTGCCCACTTCCCATTGCCCCCCTGATATTTCACTCTAACTTTTTATCGTTTGCTTCTCAATATCTTACATATTTTTTAAGCGGAATGCAGGTTTCAAAGGACATAAAGTATGCTGACAAGCAGCCAATTATACCTTGGGGACCAAGGTTTTTTATTGCTTCTCTTGGTTAATGATATTATAGTACCGCTGTAGTGTTGCTGTACACTACTTTACCATCAGCTATATAATTCTTGTCTATTTTGGTGCATTGTTCTTGAAAATTGTATCTATCTTATCTCCCCCTCGAAAGTTCAACCCACTTTATGGTTGAATTATGTTAGATAGGATTTCTTTTATGCTTGATATGATCCAATTACTCATGTTACTTAGAGAAGATCATGGTATCTCTAACTTATGAAAAAAGATGGCGGGAATCATTTATATTTAGATTTATTTATTTTCACATACATTTGGAAACAACAGTTTGGAAGGAAAAAACCCATTTTTCCTGTGTGTAACTGACATTCACTTCCAGTGTCAACTTTCCCCATGTTCTACATTTTCTTTAAGTTAATGTTCTCCCGGCATCACTAAGCAGTATCATTTTATTATCAGCTACTTGGATTTGTTTTTTTTTACATTATTTGTACTTCCAATGCACTTTCAGGTTTGCTAAATCCAGTGAAAATGATATGCGCATCAACTTGGCAATATCTGCTGCTTTTGTGAGTAATAAATGAATAGTTGATTTTATTCATTTATTTTTTTGGAAAATATAAATGCTCACTTGCTCAGAAACCATATTGGTCTTAGGTCTTCTGATGCAGTATTAATCAGAAACTTTTCCATCCTTCTGCAGACAGCTTGGATCGTGGTCGCTCGCAGTGCTGAATATAAACCTTTGCAGTTTGTAGCTTTTGCTTTTGTTTATAGGCTTTTTGAGAAGTTAAAATCCTTTGAATCTCCTAAAAGCTCCACAATTAATGTGAGTTTCATATTCTATGACAACCTATTCAATAAAATCTTTAATTTTTCTATTTTTTTAACCATGTTGAATTTTCAATAAAATTGTATCGATCGTAAATCATGAAAATCTTGGCTACAGGAAGATGGTGAAGATCCAGGAGAAGGACTGCGCATGGGAAAGAGACTGCTCCGATCACTGGCCTTGGTTTTTGGATGTGTAGCTCTTTCATCCGTGGTATGATGATTCATCAAATCTTTTTGTGTGATTCAAGGATAAGTCCTTTTGATATTCCAATTTTTCGGCTTCCGTAATCTATACCAATTAATAAGGAAGCTGATATAGTGTGTGTGTATGATTTTCTTTTTAAATAAAAAAGAAGAAAATAAGTAAGGACTAAGGAGGAAGCGAGAGAGGGATCGGTTCACCTTATCATCTTCCTTCCCAGTTTTACTTTATTTGAAACCGAATTATTTTTCATCATGATATTGTGAAAAGATACATTTGCATAATATTCTTTTAATCTTCGTTGAAACTATTATTTGAACTGAAAACCATTTTTAAAGAAGAAATATGTTGCTGCTGATTTACAGAAATCAGAATTTTGCACTGTGCTGAACTTTCACTAGAACTGTAGGAGGAAATTTGGCAATTTATTGCTTTTGGAAGAGATTGAGCTTCAGAGATTTACATCATCAGATTCATGATACCCAAAATAATTTATATTATGTAGTTTAGGTTTTAGTTGAAAATATATTTTCAGTATGTTATTCAGTTATTTTGTTTGTCTCAGAATTCATTATAGTCAAATACGCCTGAAGTTTTCTATTTTCTTTTTACCACACATATTATTACTCAAAAATTAGCATACCACATAGCTATTAATATTCCACATTTCTTGCAGGCATTCACTGTGGGTTTAAACATAATTGAGTCTGCAAGTGGTTCTATTCCATCTATTCTTTATAACAGTCAGGTATAGATCAATTCAATCCTTCCTTGCTAAAAATATATAAGATGTAATTGTTCAGAAACCATACGAATAATATGACGCATGTCCTGCAGTTTATTTTTCTTAGGAACACTTTTATGTGGATTTTCTTGTCAAATGCCATTTTATTCCTCATTTTCCTATATGGCGAAGTGAAGAATTTTGTTCATGCTGTAAAATTGTGTTCTGGTCACATACTACCAGCTACAGTTTTTATTTTATTTTATTTTTTAAAATTTTTTTATAGATTGCAATTTTCTATTAACGTGTCCTTTGCAATATGAAATTTTCTCGGTGTTAAATATTTTCTCAAGCGAAGAGCAAAGGTCCTGGCCCTCTTCAGATATTTGCGATCTTTCATCATTCTTCCATTAATTAGCAATGTATTTGCAGGAGTTGATAATCACCGCATCATCAGCAGTCATGCTTTATATTTTGGGATCTTTTTATCGATAGTGGACCTTTCTTGAAGACAAAGAAACCAATCAAATCTAGTGATGATCAGAATACTGTGTTACTAATCTTCCTTTTCATTTTTCATTTTCTATTGTGAATTGAGTTATTTTGTTGTTTCACTCAATTTTGTCAAAAGAGAAATAGTTGTACTTCTAAAGTAGGAAATAGTGCTAATTTAAAGTTTTGTTCTGTTTTCTTCTTGGTTGGGAAAATTTGTTCTTTTTGAATTTGAGTATGATTCTCATTTGGGTTTATTCTGTTCGAAGTTCTTCCATGGTTAATAATGCTTGGTAAACTTGCCAATTCAAATGCATAGAAGAAAGGAAAAACAATTCCAAGGTCTTGAAATTAAATTGTTGACCTCGAGACTTGCACATGCAACCAAGAAAATGTGTAAGAGCAGAGTTATAAAGGTGCAAAAGGTATGCATTTGAAAATGTAAATTAATTTTATACTGACATCTTACAAAAATATAATTTTTCTTTTTGTAACGGGAATGAGTGAAATGAGATGTTGAGACCTATGTTTATGTATTGAAGCCTCCACCTTCTATCTGTATTTCCTTTGAGACCTCTATTTATAGGGGTATTGAGCGGGCATTTTTGTCCAGCGACCACATCATCCATCATTACTTTCTTCGCTAACAAGTTTCTTTTAACTTATTTATGTGGACTTTGAACCTCTTTATTTTTGCCGAGCAACTTAGTAATTTCTCCCAACGATCATTTTCTTACTTCACCATGAAGTAATTTTAGGCTCTGAAACACCTTAATTTCTCCTAGTGGCATAGTAGTTTTTTGAAACGAGCTATTCTTTTCTTCACCATTAAGTAACTTCTGTTCTTCGCCCATCGACCAAACTAATTTGCCCAAGAAAATTGTTCTGTGATAGATCATCTGCTCACTGTCTTGATTCCACGGATCGAGCCCATGCTCGTTCAACGAACCTTCTGTTTTATGATCCATGTTGCCTTCTAGGTTTTTTTTACCTGCATTTGAGAAATGTATAGTCATAGTGTTCATAAATATGCTAGAATTCAAGTTTATCCACTATTTATTAACTTATTTGTGAAATAAGTTAATAAATGCCCTAAAATGTATATGTAAAAACACATAACTTTGAAATTTATCAAACAGTCACACGCATCAAGTGTTAGACGTAGTGGTGTTAACTTTGCCGGTTCAGTCCTTCTCTACCGTATCGAAAACTTATTCCGTTCCTCTAAGATTCTACTTCATCATTTCACCATACATTTTTGGTTTCCTAATTGAACATATATAATCATAAATTAAGGTTTTTTTTCTCCATCTTGCACGTATACCGTTTGAATTTTAGATAGATCTTATTCGTTAGACTCTTTCTCACGAAGTTGGTCTCTAACTTTGTCCACATGCCAAAAATAGTTGTTTCTTGATTGGCCATGAATGCAACCTCCCTCTAAGCCATAAAATTATGGTTGCCCCTGTTTCAAGATATAGCTATTTCCAATCCTCATCGTTAATTTTCTTGAGTTATTGCTCTTCCTCTGCCAAATCTTTATGTAACTTTTTTGAATTAAGCCAAATTTCATTTGTATATTCCAATAAAAAAATTATTTTCCCCATTAAATTCTCATATTTCCAACCTTGAAGGTTCCGCTAGTATAAGTCATTATTTTTACAAAATAAAATATTAAATAATACAAGACTAAACATACTAGTCTTTGTTTAATTGTTATAGGTAGAATATTTTAAAAAGAAAATGACAAAAAAGGGCAAAGACATATCATGGTTGTTGAGAATACCTATGAAAATAAAACTCATGGTTGGTAGATAAATCCACGACCATGTCTAAATTTACTCCAACATGGATAACGTAATCTAACCCTATCTAATTTCAATTTAAAATAAGATTATATTAATGTGTTTTTCTATATATATATTATGTTGTAAGAAATAAAATTTGTCTCTTTTTCATATATTGATTTTCTTAGACTCAACTCTAAACCCAAGACACAAACATTTTCATATTCATATTTGTGTTTCTGTTAGAGAATCAGGTATTACTAATCACTACCTCTTCATCTTCTTAACCTATTAGTTACAAATTGTTTAGTACTAATTGCATGTTGATTAAGATTTGTTATATGTTAGTTAAGATTACTCTTTAAACTGTATTCAATCAGTTTATGAATATGCATGTTTGTGTGTTTCCATGTGATGTTTATGCATGTGATATTTTTGTTTTGGTTGCTTAGAAAATGGTAACAAGGACGGTGGATCTTCGATCGGATACAGTCACGAAACCGACCGAAACAATGCGGGTTGCTATGGCGAATGCTGAGGTCGACGACGATGTTCTTGGTCGCGACCCTTCGTGTTTTCGATTAGAAAAAGAGATGGCAAGGATAACTGGCAAGGAAGCTGGTTTATTTGTTCCATCAGGAACTATGGGGAATCTCATATCTGTGCTTGTTCATTGTGATATTAGAGGCAGTGAAGTGATTCTTGGAGATAATTCGCATATTCATATTTACGAGAATGGAGGTATTGCAACCATTGGAGGTGTGCATCCAAGAACAGTTAGAAACAATGAAGATGGAACCATGGACATTGATTTGATTGAAGCTGCAGTTAGAGATCCAAAGGGGGAGCTTGTTTATCCAACCACAAGGCTCATTTGCTTGGAAAATTCTCATGGAAAGTAAGCGATTTTTTGTTCGAGATTTTCTTTTGGTTTCATTCTAGTAACAATCCGTCGGATATGGCTCATATTTTAATGATAAGTGAGGAGCTCGGTCAATTGTGTCTGCGTCTTTGACTACATAGTGACTGCAATATCTTTCACACCATGAATGATTGGTACATTTGTTTTCTGAATGCAGCACCGGTGGTCGATGTCTTTCGGTTGAATATACAGATAGAGTTGGAGAGGTTGCTAAGAAGCATGGATTGAAGCTTCACATCGATGGAGCTCGTATATTTAATGCATCAGTTGTGAGTGTTTTTTTTTTCTTTTCTGTCTTACTTATGATGTTACCTTCTGCTATCATGACAGGAAATTTTGGTTTTTCAGGCACTTGGTGTTCCTGTGGATAGGCTTGTTCGAGCGGCCGATTCAGTATCGGTGTGTTTCTTATCTTATAGTAATTTTCTTCTCTGTCATGAAAAGGATCTTCTAGAGTAAATCTTTTCCTAAGTGATTAATTTGAATGTGCGTATGAATTAGGTTTGCTTATCGAAAGGTCTAGGTGCTCCGGTTGGATCTGTAATTGTTGGTTCGAATAGCTTTATCACCAAGGTATTTCAAAATCTTTGTGACGAATGCGTATACAATAGAAGTGATATTATTCCTTTTGAAAGAAGAACTTGATATTAATAATATTTGCCATTTTTTAGGCTAGAAGGCTTAGAAAGACCTTAGGTGGTGGAATGAGACAGGTTGGCATCCTTTGTGCGGCCGCACTTGTTGCATTACAGGAAAATGTTGAAAAGCTAGAAAGTGATCACAAGAATGCTAGATTTTTAGCCGGTATGTTTCATACATAGTTAACCTGTAAATCATAAACACAGACACCAAACACGAACGTATTGATACACACATGTCAGACACTGACATATGTCATATCAGAGACGGATACATGTCAGAAATGTCGGTGCTACATAGATGTTAACTTACTAACAACAAATCCTAACTAGTTTGCTTCTTAATTTCCTTTAGATGGATTGAATGAAATTAAAGGATTGAGAGTGAATACCTCTTCTGTGAAAACCAATATTGTAAGTATTTAATAAGTAGTTTTCATTCATATTATTACAACAATTCATTATGAATCATTTCTCTGATTGATTTTCATACAAGGTATATATTGAAATTGAAGAAAGTTTACAAACTACAGCTGCAAAGCTATCCAAAGACTTAGAAGAATATGGTATCCTTCTCATGCCAATAAGCTCATCAAGGTCTTGTCTCTCACACTCTACATTGTTACTAATAATTGAAATTAGTATTAATCAAGAATTTAATCAAAAGTAACTTATTCATATTACTTATTGATAGATTGAGAGTTGTATTCCATCACCAAATATCAGATAGCGATGTGAAGTTCGTATTGTCGCGCTTTCAGGTGATGACTATAGTCTTTTTGTTTGTTATATACATTCGTTTTCTTGGCATGTATTTTATGTTTCATATTTTATTGAATGTTGCAGCATGTTGTTGGTGGAGGACCAAATGAAAATGGCAACTAGTAGAAGAATTTCAAGTTTGTAAGCTTTTGTTGAAAAGTAAAATTCTGAATAATGTTGCATATGTATGAATAAATATGAACCTTTTTGTTTTGTTTGTAACCCAAATTATGGTGTTTTGCTTTTGATTAAAAAACATTGACTCTCATGTGTAACTATTAAGACAATTTTCTCATTAAAATTAGACATTTAGAGCGGAATCAAAAGGATCTAATAACGGATGATTCATATATGTAGAAGAAAAATTGGATACAGTAACAAAACTGATCGAAATAGTGTGAGTTTCTATGGCGAATGACGAGGTTGGTGACGACGTTCTTGACATCCTCTTTACATATTGTGTCATAGTGTGGTGATGATAGAAACTGACTAAGTTGATGTCAGACCTGATAGTTGTCAAATACATAAGCTTTTGTACCAATCTTGTGTCAAGCATGTCTTCATATGGTGTAGAGGAGTCTTGATGCAGGTTTACACATGGATCAAGAGGAGTTTTGGCATGTTTGCAACCAAGGAATTATGTTTCCTTTAAGAGGTCCAAACAAATATTAATGCCAATTTTGGAATGTATTTGAGCCTTCCAAGATCTTTAATCTTGAACTCATCGTCAAGTGTGGATTTGATTCTTTCAATCTCTTCTAAACTGTTTTCTGCTAAAATTAAATCATCGTTCCCTTGTGGAGAATGAACAAAGAATAATCAGAGTGTAAGAGATTAGAAAACCTGTCAATTTTTCATACAATTTCCTGCTATAATATTTCAATCCGTAGAGTAATTTTAGCAACTTACGCACTTAATTTGGTTTGGAATTTGTAAATCCTTAAGGAATTGACATGTACACTTCTTCATACAAATCTCCATGCAAAAAGAATTGTTTACATATAATTGGTGTAAATGTCAAGAATTGGTGGAGGCTAAAGCAAGTAGTGAAAAAGTATCAAAGAAGTCAAGTCATTCCACTAGTCTTGTAACTGGACAACAAGTCAACCATCAACTTGGCAAAGAATTCAGTCCTTCATGACAGAAGCTATATTTTATTTCATAAGGGGGCAACTGAATCAAGGAAAACTAGAGGTGAAGAATTGTCCAAGTGAATCTCAAATTGCTCACATTTTAACTAAGAGATTGAAGATTGGTAGGTTCTTGTCTCTTAGGAAGAAATTAAGATTCATTCAATTCAAGTAATTTGTATGTTTTTTTGTTTCATAAGTTGGATTATAGGGAGCATGTTATCAATCAGTCCAACTTATGTTTGTTATGACAGTTAGAAGGTTGTTATGTTAGGTAGTTAGTTACTTACTTGCGAGGCAATTAACCTCACATATAGTCTATAAATACATGTGTTTGTAATAGTTTTGAACTCACTCAATTCATAATATTACTTCACCAATATATAGTCTTATCTTGCTTATTCTTTTCAATCTCTTTCTATCATATTTAAGTACAAATATAGAATTCACACTAACAATATAAACAACACATGACCGAAAATGTTGGTTTTTAGACACTTGGTGTTCATGCGGAAAGGCTTGTTCAACATAGACACAACATTTATATATAGGCATATGACTAACACCAGACATACACCTTTCATTCTGAGACGTCAGTGTTTCATAAATTATTATTCAATAACGAATCTCTATCTTTGTCGGATTTTCCTTCGCTCCTTTCTTTGTTTTTGCGACTCCAATAAAGATAACGTTGTTTTGGGATTTCCAATAGATCAGATTACAACATGAAAAAACATAAGGTAACCACAATTATACTTTATCCTACCTTCTAAAGAAAGAAAAAACTAAAAACACAACCTAAGATTCTGGTGAATAACTACATGTCACTCCAATCACCAAAAAATTGTATACCGCACTAACGAGGCTCTCTCACATGTAAAAAAAAGGTGAGAAGTAGTCTCAGCCAAAAACCTGAAAAAGAGACAAGTATCATACTAGTGTCTGATAACACTCGTATTTTAGACAAGTTGACTCTGGAAGAGAATCTATCCTACAATAGCTATCAGGAAAAAACCAACATCTTAGATGGAGCCCAAATACTCCAAATAAGAGAAAGGATATGACTTTGAAATGAAAGTGGTGCCATAGAATAAGTTAAACTGCCCCTCTGGACGAGGTAAGTGAAGGCCATTGAAAAAGTATTGTCACTATAATGTTTCCAAATTCATTTATCTATATCTAAGGACAAGATAACATCTCTAAGAAAGGCACGAAACTCCTCAAGAACGAGAAAATCTCTAGGGAAGAAGAATATCCTCCTTCTAAAATCTCAGGTCATGAACTCAGTGATAACCTCCCATATCTCGCCCACCAACCCTTCTGTCTAGAGAGAATTGGATAACAGACTCAGAAACATTGACTTTAAAGGGATCCTCCCAAAAGGAAGTCCGAAGACCTAAATCCATTTTTTTTAGCAATTCCATAAGAGGATCAATCTGAGATACATTCATCTTTTGTCCACTATGAGAGGCGATATAAATACCCCCATATATAACTATTATAATATCCCTCCAGAGCCATGAATCCCCTACAAGCAACCCTCATCTCCACTTCATTAAAATAACAAAATTAAACAGTCGGATAGAAACATTATTTACCCCACCCCCCAAGAAATCTTCTTTGTAAAGGCACAATCTTCTTCCAAACCATAACAGACACTTAAAAAAAAGGACAAGAAGAAGATAAAAATATTATTAAACACCAAATTAAGGAGAATTCTTCTATACCCCAGACTCACATATGTATGCTTCCAAGAGTTTAGTCTCTTTTCCAACAAGACATCCAAAAGATTCTAAGTAGACTCAAGACGGGGATTGGCCCCCCACTGGAAACCCAAGGTACTTAAAAGGAATAAAGGCTATATCAAAATCGAGAAAGTTTCTTAGTGAAGTAAGAAAGACAAGATCTACATTAACCCCAATAAAACTACTTTTGAAGAAGTTAACACGAATACTCGAAGCCCTCTCAAAACCTCTAAGAATAGTATTAATGCACTACAAACTCTCTAGAGATGGATCAACCACCATAAGAGTGTGATTTGCACACTGAAGGTGAGACACTACCAACCCGAAATTACCAACTCTAAACCCCGAGTAAAGACCAAACTCCTCTTCCCCCAATCCAAGACCACTAAGCTCCTCACTAACCAAGAGAAAAAGGAAATAAGCTAGGGGTCCCTTTATTTCAAACCCCTTTGAACGCTAACTTCTTAGGTAAAACACCCATTCACCAAAACCACAAGATTCGCAGCAATGACACATGCTTTCATCCAAAACCTCCATTTCTCACTAAACCCGAATCTAATCAACATATAATCTTGGAAATTCAACTAACTTAATTGAATGCTTTCTCAAAATCCACCTTAAGAATATGACAATGTCTTTTAGATCTTTTGGCCAAGTCAAACACCTCATTAATATCCACAACTTCATTCACTAACATTATCTCCTTAAGAAAAGCCGATTGGTTCAAAGAGATGAGCTTCTCCATCCAACCCATAGTCCAATGGGAAATACTTTTACCACCAACTTATACAGGGATCGAACCAGGGAAATGGGCCAGAAGTCTCAAGGATGGGAGAGGGAGTTAACCTTAGGGATAAAACTCACAAAGTAAGAAGCAGAACTACGAGGCAGAGATTCAAAACGATGAAATTGATCGAACATGGTCCCCAGGTCAACTCTAATAAGGTTCCATAATCTTTTAAAAAATGAGAAGTTAAATTCATATGGACCCGACCCAGACTCTTATCCCCCCCACATTATGATAGTGCCATATCAAGCTCTTTGAAACTAAAGGGAGTTAATAAGGAAAGTTATCATCATTCAAAAGAGAGCAGAAGACTAGACCATCCAGAAAAGGTCTATCAACATCAGGTTCTCTAAAGATCTCAGTGAAATGATTCATAACCTCTTGTCTAATATTAGTTACCTCTTCAATCAAAACCTCACCAACCTTCAATTCTAAAATAGAATTCCTCCTTCTCCCACTCTTCACAAAAAGCATGAAAGAATCCATAACTAGGATCACCAACCTTGAGCCAATTAGATCTAGATCTCTAAATCAATTAGAAATCTTTAATCCTAAAGAGGGACCACATTGCTGATATAGGATTGGATCTAGTCTTAAACTCCTCCCTAGATAAGACAATAAGCACATCCACAACTGATTTTTGTACTTCAAGATAATAGAAAAATGATCAGAGGCATCCCTCAGAAGATCCCATTGAAATACACCCCCCACTAGAAATCAAAATACGGTCAATTCTATTAGTTGCCATTCTATTAAGATGAAACGAGATAAACTTTGTTTTTTAGGAGAGGTAAATCAATAACAAGAGATAAAATCATATGTTTGAATCGGATCTAAGTGATTTAACTAATTTTATATAGCTTATAATATTAGAATTTAAAATATATGATTATAACTTATTTTAATATTTTATTTTTGAAATTTTATATAAGATGTTTTTGAATTTTTTTTTGTCCTTATCAATATAAGAATATGTTTTGTTTTTAATTGTTGTCTCACTGGACTTGTGTTTAAATAGCCCAATTTCAAAATATATTTTAACTCTTTATTTTGTCACTTTTTCAATATCTCAAAATACATTCTAACATTAAAACAATCTTTCAAATTTTAGAATCCATAATATGTTTTGTGAATATTGAATTTTAAAATAGATTTAATGTATCTTTTAATCATTTAACTTAATTTATTGTTTGATCTCGTATCTTAACTAAAAAAAAACTTTATAAAATAGTCTTTTAAAAACCATTTTATTAGTTAAAATGGTATGTGCGGTTAATTTTTTTGAAAAAAAAGTTAACTTCTGCCTTGTTGAACATGTAAAATCACACTGAATTTTTTTTTCTCTTTATTTTTTAACTGTCTATCTAAATTCTTATTTTTTTTAACACATTAAAATTTGAAATTTTCACAAAAAAAGAAAAGAAAAGAAACTGTAAGTTAGTCATGACCCTTCAGTGTATC